GGAACTCCCCCAGACAGCACCATCCTGTCCCAGAGCAGTAGAATGGACTCCGGCCTCTCAAACCTCCAGCATCCAAGGGCTCTGAGTTCTGGGCTGACTTCAGTCCAGAGGAGGGAGCTTTCCAGGAGTTCTGTGTCTGGAATGCAGATGGCAGCCAGGGTGGAGGGTGGTCATGAGAATTTTCTCCTGCCTAGAGCACAAAATGCAGCCCCTGGGCAGAAAGACCTTTTGAGAAAACCATGAGAGCTGGGGATAGTTCCTCCCAAAGGTTCTCCCATCCTGTATCCAGAAACTTCTCTAGAAAATTCATTCCCACCTTCCATTCAGAAACAGCTCTAGATCCTTGGTCACCCAAGGTGTCGCTCTGGGCTCTACCCTCAGCTTTTCTCCCGGTGCACAGCTGAGTGATTTGTAGAGTTAGCAAAGGGACTTTGGTTGCTCTTCTGTGCCGGGAAGGCCCTACTCAGCAGTGCCCAAGACACCAGCAAATAAAAATCACGAGGAAACTCAGAAGATTTAGTGTGGCATAAAAGTGATTCAAAAATAGGGTAACAAGTCATCATGTCAAATGCCGGTGACTCCAGCACTAGGGAGGCGGATACATGAAGAGCCAGAGTTCAAGGCTGTTCCAGGTTACACAGCTGAGTTAGGGGCTAGCTTGGGCTATGTGAGGCTCCATCTAGGCAACCAAATAACCAACCACACAAACAAAACAAAAAGATAATTATAATATACAGTCTTTGTTTGAGCCATGAGTGTGGCTTTTCTGGCACAAACTGCCATTATACACATTTCATGGGAAGCGCCAGCCTTACAGCATATTTGACTTGTCCAGTCTGAGACCCTCCGTTTCTCAAACCAAAGGGCCTTTTGCTCTTTACCAAACAATTTAGGCCTTGTTCTCATTTTTCACTTGGGATGTTGAAAAAAATGCTCTCAGAAACAGTTCCACCATTCAAAAATTCCAAATATATCCATGAGCTTTTATTATTCTTCAAGATTACAGGAATTTTCCTTGGAAACTATTTGAGTCCGGGTAGAGCTGCTGCCTTTCATGTCTCCTCTTGCTTTTGAAATGCGTTTTGGTAAATTGAAGGTTCTGAACTTACATTTATTTATTTAGCCAAATTTAGTCCGTCTAAATATGCTTTGTCATTAAAAACCCCCAAAGAAAGGTCATTTGGAGCCATCCTGAACCTCAGTTTGGAAAGTGACCCGGCGCGATATTACAGCGGCCATTTGTTGTCTACAGTGTTAGCTGGTGTGGACTTTAAAAGATGGAGACGGCCGAACATAAAAAGACATCTTTGGGCATTGGAACAAAACTTGGAAAAGCGCCACTACATCTCTGGTCCTTAGCTTGTCAATTAGATCCCATAATGTGCCAAAGGGCAGGAGTCACTTTATCTTTGTACTGAGATGCTCCTCCACCCAGATGAAGAGCATGAGGTGTTGTCACAGGAACCAGAGCTCAGAGGTCGGAGACTCGGGGTGGGGGTGGGTGCTCTGCTGTTCTCACTTCTTCCTGATGCCCTGGAGAGGAAAACAGTGGCATTGGCGTGGTAGCCTCTCCCAGATGGCCAGTGTCTATACCCCACAGCCCCTTCTATACCCAGAGATATGCCTGCCCAGGCACAGCTTGAGCTCTGGAAGCCCAACTTGGCACCGGACTTGGCACAGGTTCCTGGGACACAATAGGGAACCCAGGAAGGGGGGCACTTTGTCATGGCTTCTCCTGGAACTCAGTACTGCTCTGCTTACCAAGTCGAGCCCATATGGAGCAGTTTGAAAGCGTAGACCATCTGCCCCCCTGACCCTGTTCCATTGCTCAGAGGGACATCTGCCTGAACCCCCAGGATCCTCCCATGTGCTCTTGTTCAGTTAGGCATGACCTCATTTGGAGGGAGGCTCACAGATTTCGCTGCATGGTCTGAGGTCGTGCCTTCTTCCTTCAATGCTGTGGACCCCAGCCCAGTCCTTCCTCTCTCTGTGCTGTAAAATGTGGATAATAATATCTGCTGTGCTTCCTTGGGCTTGCTATAAAGAAGCAGCACATTGATGGTCTGAGTCAGAGGTGGTGGCATTCGGCCTGTCTGGGGCTTGATGCTGACATCTGTGCTCTCTGAAGGTGCCCTAAACGCCAGAAAATATCTTCTGCTGTCTATTAGCTGAGACGTGTGACTTTATGGTGACTGAGGTCTATCAGCCCTCTCCATGCATCTTGTTTTACCCTGGGATGCAGCCTGAGGCAGCCCACTTCTCTTTGCCTCAGTTACTATGTCTGGAAAATGGTTCAGATACCAGGTTAGTATAATGCTGATTAGCATCACAAAATACCTGGGTAATTAACTTCCAAAGGGAGAAGAAGCTAGCCGAATGCTACAGGCCTGTAATACCAGTGACTCAGAAGGTAGAGGCAATCAGAGGGATCACTGCAAGTTCAAGGCCAGTCTGGGCTACAAAGCCAGACCTTGTCCTCAGTTAAAAAAAAAAAAAAGGAAGCAAAAGAAGGGATCTTGGGGAGCCTGAGGCAAAAGGCTCAAATAGGAACATTTGTTCTTTTCACGGGGTGACCAAGCCAGCTTGATCACCCATGGTGCACAGAACTACGAGGGGTCTCTTCTAGTCTCCAGTGTTCTCTTGTTGTTAGGATGTGTCCTGAGCAGTCCAAGGTGAAGCTGCCTGTACCCCTACACTGAACACATGGCACACCTGTATGCTTGGCTAACGTGACTCTAGAAGTCATCCCTTACCCTGGACAAAGTAATAGCCAGTGGTGTGATAAGAAGCCAGTGAAAGATTAACCAGCCACATGCCTGAGCAAAGTTGCCAGTGGCCTGAGGTCATCCTGGCCTGACTCATGAACTTGGTGGCTTCCCAACCACACCTGCAATGTGATGTGAGAGCCTGATGCTGTCCTCTGTATGAAGCTACGGGGAAGGCAACATCTGGACTCAGATCATGCCAGATGTGCCGCAGGCACTGAACAGGTGGCCAGAGTCAAAATTATATATAAAAGTCCATTCAGTCTCCTGCAGTGGAATAACACGCACTAGCTGAGCAGGAAGTTACAACAGCTGCCACTTTTCCCTGTCCTCTACGTCACTGCCCTTTTGCCCTATTTTATGGGATCTTCTTACCCTGGTCCATAGCTCAGGCGATCCCATGACTGCTGGGCCCACTTCAGGTATACATAAACTGTCTTCAGTATTCAGTGGTAAACATACCCAGCCTAATATAGTTTAAATGCTGTCCATAAAGTTCTCTGGTATTTCCCTTTCCCGCAGCTCAGGCCTGACCCAACCTCTAAGATTGCACAGTCTGTCTGATATGATCATGCATTGGACCCTGCTTTCCCTGGTTATTTCTGGCTCCTGAGCCAGCTCAAGCTAGAAGAGGGGGTGAGGGAGAAGCCAAAGTGCCCCTTTCCATAGCTGTGACTGCTGTAACCAAGATTTAATGTCCTCTGACTTCAGATGCCCGGGTACTGGGTCTCTCTCTCTCTCTCTCTCTCTCTCTCTCTCTCTCTCTCTCTCTCTCTCTCTCTCTCTCTCTCTCTCTCTCTCTCTCTCTCTCTCTCTCTCTGCCCAAGGGTATTTTTCTTGTAAGGTATTTAGTAGGCTGGAATCCCATGCCCTGCAGTGCCTACACCTGGAAAAATGCTTTCTCTGGCCAACTCAGAATTCCCCTTCAACTCCAGTGCCAGTGGGATTCTCCATGTGGACATCAAATTCCAGGCTCACTTCTCTGTGGTATCCAGGGCTCATCAAGATGATAAGATGACCCATTCTCAAGTACGGGGCCCATGGGGTGCTTGGTTATCATATTGGGTCTTTTCCAGCAAGCTCACAGTGCAATCTTTGCCTAAAATCGTTTACTTCCAACCTTCAAGATTTTTCATCTCAGCAAATACGCACCAAGAAGGGAGAAGTTTCTAGATTTGCTCCTAGCTGATTTCCCCCACTCTCTGAGTAGGACAAACCATCCCTCTTGGCTCAGCTGTGGGGATTGTTGCATGACTATTCCTTGGGAGCTATGAACTAATACCTACTCACCCAGATTGGCACTGATGTCATCCCAAAGTCTAGCTGGATGAAACAAGTTTATTGGAGTTAATTGCAGGGAGGTGGGTGAGAGGTCTCTCCTGTCGCATAGGTGACTCAAAGGCGTCACTGGAAACCCTTCCTTAGCAGATTTTACAAAGCTGCACCCCTGAATATCCCTGCACGGTATGCAGGCAGCCCCACTGAGAATAACCCCTCCATCAACTGTTAGCCATGTATACAGCCCTGGAAGGGCCTACTCAATCACTCAGCTTTCCTAGTGTCCTCGTAGTGCAAGTTTCCTAAGTTCTGTGAGTTTCCCAAGCCTCATGAGCCTCCTTCTGCCCGTTGTTGGGGGTGTTGCAGGCTGGAGGAAATAGCTGCCTCAGTGAGACAGAAGGAAGAGAAATGCACAACAGTGGTTCCTGGCAACCCATTACAGTCAGCTGCAAGCTCCAGCTGCATCCATGTCTGCATGGTGGTCTGCTACTATAGCCACAGGCAGTCTGCTGCTATATCTGCATGACAGTCTACTGTTATATCTGCATGGTGGTCCACTGCGATATCTGCATGACGGTCTACTGCTATATCTTCATGGCAGTCTACTGCTATATCTACATGGTGGTCCACTGCTATATCTGCATGGTGGTCCACTGCGGTATCTGCATGACTGTCTACTGTTATATCTGCATGGCGGTCTACTGCTATATCCGCATGACGGTCCACTGCTATATCTGCATGACGGTCTACTGCTATATCTGCATGGTGGTCTGCCACTATATCTGCATGACAGTCTATTGCTATATCTTCATGGCGGTCTGCTGCTGCAGCCAACTCTTGTCTAATCCCACCTGGATGGTGAGGCACATCTCTCTGCAGGATGGAGCTGGTCACTAGTTGCCCATTTCAGCTCTGAGCATCAATAGAAATTCTCAGACAACATAAAAATTCCATCTTTCTGTTATTTTTCTCATTCATTTATTCATAATATTATTCGGTATTGATCTTATGCCTAAACTATGCCAAGATGCACTCTACAGGAGAAAATCTGGCAATGACTTCAACTCCACTGTGACCTCTTTTCTGGGTGGGTTGGGGATGCCATGGATGGCTGGTCACCTGACACCTGTCAACGACATTTGGCTTGGGCCGTGAGTGGTATCATATATCCATAATTCTGGGACTGTGAAAGTTGAGGAAGGAAGATCCCAAGTTCAAGGCCATCCCACGGTCTACAGTGAGACTCAGTCTGCAAAAAACAAAAACACAAGCCTCTAACACTACTGCCCGGAGCTCAGTCACTCTGCACACCTATGAAGACAGGCTGTTGTGACTTCACATGTGGAATAATGGCCCCAACTGTTCAAGCTGCCAAAGAGGCTCTGAGTCATCACTGACAAGCTAATCATCTGAATTTAGTGCGAGTATATTTGGCTGATAATCTGATTTCTTAGCAAGTACAGACTTAATTAAGTTTCTATTTTAGTACCAAATAGACACTTTAACAGGGAGAATCCTCTGTGATAGAACATTTTCTAGATAGCATCGCATTGTTTGACGTGGCTGGAGCCAGAACCTTCTTTATTGTTTGTGATGGTAGTTCTTTTTATGATAGTTTTGTGCATACATTTGTGTGTGAGGTCTCTTTGTAAGTTTTCTTTTATTAGATTGAATTGTCCTGATATTTTCCTATTTGTAAGTGTTTATTTGTTTGTTAGTGTTTGTCTGTTTCTGGGTTAGGTTCTCACTATGTATCCCAGGCTGGCCTCAAATTCATAGAAATCCTGCAGCTTCAGCCTCCCAAATGCTGCAATTACAGGCCCATACTGCCATGCTGGGGGACAGTTTCCCTCTTATTGCTTCCCAAAGTGCCCATTTTCTTGGCTTTTGTGGATCACTTATCAAAATATAAAATTCAGCTTGAGTTTGTAATGAAGGTTATGTTTTAAAATCCTGCACTGGTTCTCAGCAAGGCAAACCACAAACACATGTCGGCCTCATTGAAGTGGGAGTCTGGATGTTTTGGATTTGGGAAGATTTTTTTCCCAGTCTAAACCTTCACATAGATGAAAAGTTTTACCTCAGCCAGGTATAGGAACACACACATATAATTCCAGCATTTGAGAAGCTGAGGCAGGAGGATTGAATTTAAAACCAGCTTGGGCTAAACAGTTAAGTTTCAGCTCAGCCTTGGCTACCAAGTGAAAACCTCTTTCAAAAAACAGACAAACAATCCCCAAAACAAACCCCAGACAAACTAAACATTGATTTAGCGTAGGAAGATCTCCATAGACTCTGTTTCCAGACATTACATTTCTAAAGTGTTGTATTCTAACCCTAGCTCCCTAGTGTAATATAAAAACTTTGTTAACCTTATAAATGCAATTTTCAAGAGCAAAGACATCTCCCTTCTTCACCTATTAAGCCTAATTTTCATACCACTACATGGTCCAAAGTGTTGGCAGATATTTTAAAGGGAATCAAAGTGTAAGAATAACTGCCTACGTGAAGATGTGTTTTAAATCGACCCCATTAGTCACCTTTTTGAAAAGCAGAAAAAAGTAGGCACCTAGCAACAGCAAGCTGTCACTCAGGATTAAGAAAAGTCATTTACAAACAGGAGCTTTTGCCCTCTCTGCTGGGGGAGGCCAGGCTTGTACGCTTGTACATTTAATTATACAGAAGACCCTCGCCAGGGGGCTTGCCTGATGATCATCCATATTCATGCCAATGGCAGTAATGGCAGCCCCAAAGGACAGCTTTGGTGACAGAGCTGATAGGGCTCTTGGGAGCCTTCCAGAGCTTGCCAGTGCTGTCAGACTCGAGGCTCTGCCTGCAAACCGTGCTCTCACTTCCTGAAGGCCACTCGCCTGTCTTTCCTTTCTAAGTCGATTCTGAGGAGAGGGCTCTCCAGCACCCCTAGACCGCAGAAGCAAGAATCTAATGCTACCTGCTCAAGAGTCACCTCCTCCACCAGCCATGAAGGAGAGTATCACGTTATAGTGTTCATATCCGCACCCAAGCAGATTGACTTTCCAGAAGGTTCTTTTCACACCAGTTAGGACAAGTATGGAACTACAGGCGAAAGAGATGAAACGAAGGAAGCAAACATCCGAAGGTCAACATCTGGGTGGGAAGCGTTGAAGTCCGACATCTGGATGGAAGAGCTTCTTGAGGAACCTAGCATGTGTGTGCACTGGGCCAGTGCAGCAGGGAGCTTTTGTCCCACAAAGCCACTCTGCTGACATCGACTGATCATCGGCAAATGTAGGAGCTCAGACTAAAGAGCTACAGCCTGGCTCCTGGCTCTCAGAGGCAGGGAGCCTGGCACGTTGGGAACATCCTCAAAGCTGGAAGTTCTGTCGCAGGAACTTGGCAGCAACAGTAGCAGAAAGAACACTGGATCAAGTCGGCCTCTTGCCTGCAAGTCTGGGCCTTGGGTGGCTAAGGGGAGGAACTAAAGCATTACAGAGCAGATTTGTATACAGAAGGCCGCTCCTGCTGGAGGGGCGATGGGCTTTCCTTCTCTTGGAGGCAGGGAGGAGAGAAAGAAGGAAGCAAACAGTGGCTTCCCCAAGAAGTTTATGAACGTAATTACAGCCACTGAAGTCCATTAATTTCACAGAGCCATATTTATATTATATTAATACATCAAAAAAAGGAACTGAGCATTTTAAATGAATGAATTGTGTGTTATCTGAATCAAATGTATTTATTTCTTCTAGAAATGAAATCCGGAGCTCCGTGCATATCAGGGAAGCATTCTACTTCTAGCATGGTATCTGAGTTGATGCCTCAGGAGAGCTGTTGATTAAAAAGGTTATCAAAGCTGGGCATGGTGGTACACACCTTTAATCCCAGCACTTGGGAGGCAGAGGCAGGTAGATCTCTGAGTTGGAAGCCAGCCTGGTCTATAGAGTGAGATCCTGGACAGTCAGGGCTACACAGGGAAACCCTGTCTCAAAATAAAAACCAAAACAAACAAACAAACAAAAAACAAAACCCAAACCAAATCAAAACAACAACAACAACAAAAAAGCTCCAATCCCAAACAAACTAATAAGCAAACAAACAAACAAACAAAAAAACCAACCAAAAATAGAAAGGGCGGTGTGTGTGTGTGTGTGTGTGTGTGTGTGTGTGTGTGTGTGTATTGGAATGCATACACACTCGGGATGTGGTTACAGTTTCCTAGTTAATGCACTCATGTTGAAATCATCAGAGGGATGACTGGACAGGACGGTAGGGGAAGTGTTACCTCTCTGCCTTTATCACTGGTGTCCAGGAGAGAGAAAAGAGTACAGTGTGATAAGTACTAAATTCTACCGCAATATTATAGCTTCATGCATTTCTGTAAGGAAACGACTCTCCAGTCGGCAGCCCCATGCACTTTGTTCACAAAGTCAGGGGGTTGGAGGCTGAAGCGCCTGGTGCCCCTTGAGACCCAGGATCGACTAGGAATGTGCATGAGGGTCATACTTGTGCTGGGATCTCTTCCTGTAAGTGAGGCAGGAGACAGCTCTAGGTAGTGGGGGAAGGGCTGTGTGAAAATGACGAGTTGGTCACATACATGGCAGTAAGAGCAGAGAATGACGTTCACGGAGATTAAGGGTTAAGACAGCAGAGTGGGAGAAACTGAGGAAGAGGAAGGTGAACGGGAGGCTTGGTTTGGATATGAGAGAACCAAGCTGGGCAGGTAGAGGGGAAGGCAGAGCCCAGGGCTTTTAAAGCTCCCGAGGAACAGATGTAAGGAGTTTTCACACAGCCTTGCTTCTAGTGTGGTTCATTCTCACAGGCAACTTCCGACAGCAAGCTTCTACCGGGAGACCACCCAGACTCCCACAGGGGAACTACATCAAGGTCACCAAGAAAAACTGCACTGCATCTTGGTGGCTGTGATAGAGTTAACCCTGCCACCAGCTGATCCTGGAAACTTGAGGACAGAGAAGGCCAAGTATAATTAACAGCCCTTGAGACAATTACAGGGTCGAGGGTCATCATGCTGGCCAGTGACCCACTGGCTTAGCCACTCAAGGTCAAGGGTCAAAGCTGAGTTCAGAGATACCCAGAGAGCCTTTAACCACGCCCGGACTGGGTGGGCAGCCTATGAAGAGCACATGACCTACCTGGTTGGTCATGTGTAGTGTGCAGGCCCTACGTTGGTCAGGTCCACGATAGCCAGAAAATTAACTAGTCCAAAAGAGGCTGCTTCTGTTCAGTGTCCTGTAAAACTCAGAGACAAAGAAAAATCAAAGGCCTTCCTCCCTGGGGAGGCTCTCCAACCTCCAGCAGTTTCTTTCATCGCTCCTGAATCCCCCGTTTCCATCCATTTCCCTCCTGTCCTCACCATCCTCAGTAACGCTCGCTTTCACCTTGCGCACACCCGTGAGAGTCCGTGACCCTGATTTCTGTGGTGTGAGATGATAAACCCCACTTCCCAGTTTGATCTTTGGTGACGGGTAAACGTCCAGAACCTCAGGTACTTGGGTCATGCATGACTGGACTAGGAAAGGCTCCCCTGCAATAAAAAATATCCTGCCTCATCAGAAGCACACCTTTAAGGTTGAGGGGTGTGGTGGGGGCCAGGCCATGCTGGGTTCGGGTCAATGACCTGCACCTCTGCCTGGAGACCTGCAGAGGGTCATGACCTGGGCTTCTTTGGCTATAACGTGCAGATGATGGCCTCTCCCTAGATCTGCGTGAGGAAAATGTAGACATAAGAATGGGCGGTACTCAGAAAACTGTGACTCACTGTCTTGGTGAGAACTTGCCCTCCCCCCTCCCCCGGGGCAGAGAAGAGGGCACCAAGGTAGAGGGAGGCTTCGGTTCCCCCTGAAACTGAGGAAGGACGTGAGGGTAAATCAACCACTCCCTGCCCCTTTCCTGGTTTTGCCTTGCAAGGCCCAGCATGACTGTTTGTTGTCCCTGTGGTTTCATTCCATGGGGGCGGGGGGGAACCATGAGCCCGGACTTCACATAGTGTCCTCATTCAGCTGGCTCTGCCCGGGCTGGGTGTACTCTTTCAGTCCGGTGAGTCATGGGTGTGACCAGGGGTCACAGAGGATGAACCGGCCACCTCTTGTCCAGTCCTGTGGGTGTGAGTGGAGCAGGCAGTAGGTGAGATACCTTCTACAGTCCCTATGGCAACATCACGTGATGTGATCGCCGGCGAGCCTCCTCCCTAGGGCCCTGCTTGGCAGTCTTCCGTGGGTGCATGGTCACGGCTGGGCAATGTGCCATGCAAAGAGAGCAAGGCAGGAGCTGTGGACTAGTCATTTGGGGCCTTCGGGACGGGAAACCACTTGGTGGCCCTCGGGGAAATGCTGACCAGAAACTAGGCTTCGTTTCTCACTAACGAGGGTGGGGACAAGTCATAGAAACCCACGAGCTGGCTTACACACGAAAGCAGAGGTTCCAGCTGCTTTTCTAGATCATTCCACCCTTGGTGTCATGCTTCTCTGGGAATTCCCACTGTCTCCTGCTCCACCCAGAGAAGTTTGTTCGAGAAACTTCCGGTCTGGAAAGGGGGGAAGGTCTGATCTATCGGTTCACCGCCTTCCTTTCTGAGCTCGTTTGTAGTTTCCCATGTCCCCAGCCTTCTGAGCTATGAGAGAGTCTCTTAGGACTTTGTATGGAGAGGCTCCAGCCCCACTCTGGAAACCTATAGCTCCTCTGAGGCCAGAGTACTGGGCAGACTTCTTCGGGGCTGGCTCGGTCCATTTGGGATCCTGGGCTTCAGGCCTAGTAGTAAGTTCCTTTCCCAAGAGCAAGTTGCTTTTGCAGTCGCATGCACAGCATGGGACGCCGTTGTGTGCTGAAACAGAAGGGTAGTGCTCTGCCAGCCTTTTGGAGGAGGCAGCAACAGAGTCCAAGCTTGGGCCCCTTCCTTACCCCATGCCCTCGCCTTCCTTCCTTTCACTCTCCTGTCAAACACAGGTGGGCTACGGATGTACCCAGGCCCATTTCTTATCTTGTATGAGATGCTGGTGGTAGGCAGGACACATGGATTAAAAATGGGAAACATTCAGGAGACCCAGGCCTTTCCCTTGCCTGGGCAAACTCGTAGGTCCTCTCCGTGAGGCTCAGCCCTTAAGGATCAATCAATCAATCAATAAGAATCCATAAAGCTGGCTAAGGACTGGCTCAGTGGATAAAAACACTTGCTGAATAAGCATGAGGACCTGGGTTGAAATCCCTAGAACCCAGGGAAAAGTCAGGGTAAATGTCCATAACCCAGAGCCTGGTAGCCTGGTGTACACATTGGGAAAACAACACAAGAGACCTGACTCAAAGGAGGTTGAAGGTTAGGAGAAGCGCAAGGGAGCACGCACACGCACGCACACACGCACACACGCACACACGCACGCACGCACGCACGCACGCGCATACAAACACACACACTCACACACGCACGCACGCGCATGCGCATACAAACACACACTCACACACGCACAAGGTGGGGTGTAAGAACGTAAGGAAGCTTTACTGGCTGTTCTCTTGCTGCCCTTAACGCAGAAGGTGAGCAGGTGGAGGAGAAGGACATGGTTTAAATGACAGGATCGGATGGGGGTGCTGAAAAGGAACAAAGGTGTGAATCGTTCCACAGCTGCTCCCCCTGCCATTTACTGTGGCTTTAAAATCTGTGAACATGTGGTGACGGCTGGAAGCACGGGATAGCAGTTGGAGACGTGTAGATGAAGGAAAAAATCAGTCACTCTTATGCCCCCCATCTTGCCTCTTGGCAAAATGCTGGCCCTTTGTGCTCCCGAATCTGAAGAAAGCGCGGGACAGCAAGCCCTCTTTCCACAACGCATGCCCTCACTCACCAGTTTCCAGCTCTTACAACAGATAGGAGGCTTTTGGTTGCTGGCTACAGTATTTTTAAGCACCGTGTCCTGAGATTTTGGTGGGGCCTGGCTAATTCCATTCTTGGTTTTAAATGGCTGACTGGGTGCTGCAATGTTGGGAAGGCATCTGGGATCTGGGGTGACACTTGGGGTTCTGGCCAGGCATCCTAGTTCACTTTCTGTTGCTGTGATAAACACTGACTAAAAGCAACTTGGGGATGAGATGGTCTTTATTTGAGCTTACAGCTTGTAGTCCATCGTGAAGGAAAGCCAGGGCAGGAACTCGAGGCAGGAATCTGGAAACAGGCTGCTTAGTGGGCATGCTCAACCTCCTCCCTGCCCCCTGATTGTTTTTTTTTTTTTTTTTTGAGATGGGTTCTCTGTATAGACCTGGTGTCCTGGGGCTTTTACTCTGTAGACCAGGCTGGCTTTGAACTCAGAAATCCGCCTGTCTCTGCCTCCTGAGTGCTGGGATTAAAGGCGACCGCCACCACTGCTGGGGGTTGGCCTCCCATTTATACATCCCAGGATCCCCTACCCAGGGATGGTACTGTCCAGAGTGGGCTGAGCTCTGTTATATCAATAACCAATCAAGAAAATGCCCCACAGACAAGCCATAAGCCAATCTGATGGAGGCAATGCCTCCTCCTAGGTGACTCTAGCTAGTATCAGTTCAATAAAAGACTAACCCATACAGGTGACTTCTCTTTCCAGGGCAGGTGTCCTCTGAGTGGCTGCTTGGTGCCCACTCCTGCCTCTACCTCCTGAGTGCTGGGATAAAGGTTACACTCTCACTGTCAAGCTGAGATTTCTGGAATTTGGAAAGCCCTATCTTTTTGTTTTCTCATTCAATTTTGTGTTGTTCCTTTTTCTTTTCCCCTTCTTTTAGTAAACTTAGATTTTTTTTTTTTTGGTTTTACGAGACAGGGTTTCTCTGTATTGTTTTGGAGGCTGTCGGTCCAGCCCGGCCTCGAAGTCACAGAGATCCGCCTGCCTCTGCCTCCCGAGTGCTGGGATTAAAGGCGTGCGCCACCACCTCTCGGTGTAAATTTAGATCCTTTTCTCATACAATATAATCTGAACACAGGTTCTCCTCCCTCTGCTCCTCCCAATTCTTCCCCTCATCCACTCCCTTTCAGTATCTCATTAGAAAAGAGATAACAACAAAACAAAATACAATACAATAAGATAAAACAAAAAACCAATTGCTTCAAAGTTGGATAAGCCAAGCCAACAGAAAAATGAAAGAGCCCCAAGAAAAGGCACAAGGATCAAGGATCCGCTCACTTGCAAGTTCAGGAGTCCTGTAAAAGCACTAAACTGAAAGCTGCAGTGTATCTGCAGAGGACCCGGTACAGACCCGTGCAGGCCCGGTGTTTGCTGCTCCAGCCTCTGAGTTCACACGAGCCTTCTTCTCCTGGTGTCCTCCACCCTTTCTGTCTCTCCAACTCCTTCCGCCTCCTCTTCCGCTGGTTCTCTGAGCTCTGAGGGGAGGGGTTTGATGGAGACATCCCATTTAGAGCTGTGTGTTCCAGGGTGTCTCTGTGCATACTGTCTGGCTATGGGTCTCGGCATCTGTTCCATCTGCTGCTTGAGGAAGCCTCTCTGGCAATGGCTGAATAAAGGCCTGATCTATGGGTATAGCAGACTATCATTGGAGTCACTTTTGTCACTTTCCGCTGCACTAGCGTTCCACACCACCCCTCAAATACCCCTCAACACCGTCTCGTCTCCCTCCTTCCGCCTGATCCTCCTGATTGCCCCTCCTTCCATCCACCCATAAAGCACATTCTTTTACCCCCTCCCAGGGAGATCTGTGTGTCCTTCCCCCCTTCCCCTTCCTCTATGCCCATCCTCTCTGGGTCTACAGGCTATAGCTGGATTATCATTTATTTAATGGCTACTATCCACATATAAGTGAATACATGCCGTATTTATCTTTCTGGGTTTGGGTTACCTCACTCAGGATGATTTTTTTTTTTTTAGTTCCATCCATTTTCCCGCAAGTTTCAGGAAACTGAGTAAAATACCCCATTGTGAAAATGTAGCACATTTTGTTTATCCATTCTTCTGTTGAGGGATATCTAGGTTGTTTTTAATTTCTGGCTATTATGAACAAAGCCACAATGAACATGGTTTTGGGAAAGTGTCCCTGTGGTAGGATGGAGCATCCTCTGTGTGTATATTCAAGAGTGGCACAGCTGGATCTTAAGGTAGATTGATTCCCATCTTTCTGGGGAACCGCCACACTGATTTCCACAGTGGCTGTACAAGTTTGCACTCCCACCAGCAGTGGAGTAGTGCTCCCCTTGCTCACACCATCAGTGGAGCAGTGCTCCCCTTGCTCCACATCCTTGCCAGCATGAGTTGTCACCTGTGTTATTGATCTTAGCCATTCTGACAGGCATAAGATGGAATCTCAAAGTAGTTTTGATTGCATTCCCCGGAGGAGCCAATGAGTTTTTACTGAGGTTGCTAACAGGAGTATTGTGAGGGGTTATTTACAAGGAGAAAGGAAGCCGGAAAGCAGCTGTGTCCCTAGAAAGCCCACCCAGTGACGATGATGACCATGCTGGAAAACTGCATCCCCAAGCCACTACGCAACCTATGGCTGCTCCACACTCTGGATGTCTCTCTTTTCTTCCTGGTGTGGCTGGCCAGTCTCCAGCCGCAGCAACTGTTCTCTGTCTGTACTCTTGGTAGAGGAACTCAAGACTCTTCCAAGCCTCAGCTCTTTTGAGATGCATGACCTTTTGTTTACCTCCTGTCCAACCCTGAGGCCCCGAGCCTGCCTCACTTTATAGGGCAATTGTTTCAGTTTGGAGGGAATCTTGTAACTAGGATGAACATGCATGCCATAGATAGTCACGAGGCCAACATTGATTTGGGTGCTCTCTGCACTTCAGGGTGTTTTTAGCCTGTGAAGTCCCTTCATACCCAATGGTGGTGAAGTCACAGTGTGGGGATTTGGACAGAAGCAGCTGCTGTTGTGTCCTGCAAGGTCCAGGTTCACATGACATCTCTACGGTGGGGTGAGGGACAGACCTCCTTAGAGGGTCTTTTACAGAGCTGTTCCTCTCTACAGCCAGAGCTCACCTCAGGTGGCCAGTTTGTTCATTTGTTTGGAGGTTCTGCAGATGGGGCATTGTACAAGCTAGGGAAGGGTTCTAACCTCTGAGCTTCACTCTATTTGGTCAGTCAGGTTTGGGCATGGCATGGCACAGGTTGCTGATGGCAACCAACCCTACTCTTTTGCTCCTTCCCACTTGGGTAGGCTGAGATGCTGGTCCATGGGAGGCAGAACCCTACAGAGATGACTAGAGGCCAGCCATTCTATTCTGAGAGGCCCCTCTTCCCTGCAGATGTCACCCGTCCCCCAGGCCCTTACCCTCCCTCTCCTTCTCTGCTTTGCTCCTGGCATGTTTCCGCTCTCCTAACCAGTGTGCTCAGTCACAACATCAGTACCAGAAAAGGCTTCACCCTTGCCAGTAGCATGCAGGCAGATGAACTGAAGTCTGTGATGCATTGGAGACCTGCCTCAGATCACAGTGCTGGTCTGCAGCCTGCGCTTGGGGCCTGACCCTAGAAGATCACAATTGACACAGGGAGAGTGTCTTCGTTAGGGTTTCTATTGCTGTGAAGAGACACCATGACCACAGCAACTCTTATAAAGGGAAACATTTGAGGGGACTTGCTTATAGTTCAGAGGTTCAATTCATCATGGGGGGAGCATGGCAGTGTGCAGGCAGACAGGGTGCTGGCTACATCTTAATCAGAAGGTAACAGGAAGTGGACTGAGTGTCACCTGAGGAAAGCTTGAGCATAGGAGACTTCAGAGCCAGCCTCCACAGTGAGACACTTCTTCTAACAAGGTCACACCTACTTCAATAAGTTCACACCTCCTAATGGGGCTATGAGGTTATGGGGGCCAATTTCATTCAAACTACCACAGAGAGATAAAGGTTTCTTCTCTTATAGCATTTGAAGTTTACAAGTCCTGCGCTAAGACCACCAACCTAATCATTCCTGTCTTATGCATGGAGATCACAAGGAACAGAGATTGTTAAATAATTTTCCCAGACAGTAAGTAGCAGAGGTGGAGTCTGAGCCCTCCAATGAGGCTGTGTTCTAGTCTGATACTCCATTCTCCTTTATAATTATCCACATAAGCCATCACAGAGAAGCTTCTCAGCTAGAGGAATTCTGACTTTGGTATGGCTAACCTCCAGAGGAGCAAATGCCAAAACAGGATAGCAACAGCTGTGGGCCCAACCAGAGCAAAACAAAAACAAACTCCCACAGTCAAATAAATTTGCAACACTGTGTTGCTGAAGTTAAGCTAGTTCCCCTTACAGAACCTCAAAATGCGAAAAGATGACCTGGATTGTCTATGAGTCAAAGCCTTTCACAATATTTGAGATCACAGAATCCTTTTTGATGCAGCCATGTCGTCAAATATCACGTGGTCACTGGAATGCTCCATTAGAAGGTAAGAAGAAAATCACAGAGCTAGTTTTGACTTCAAGGGTCACATAAAAAGGGGCTCAAGGTTTTCAGGACCGCTCTTTGAAAACTGCTGTGCTAAATAAAACATGCTAAGCAGTGTGACCTGAGGCGTGTTCTCACAGAGCTAAGTCACCTTCCCCTCTGCACGCAGCATGGGAGGGAGGGGTGAAAGAGACGCATGCGTGCGTGCGTGTGTGCGTGCGTGTGTGTGTGTATGTGTGTGTGTGTGTGTATGTGTGTGTGTGTGTTTCCAGATCAGTTCCCTGTTGTGCTGTTTCTTCCTTTCCTTTATCCCACCTGTTGATTTTTAAATGCTCAGTTTTCCATAGCAGACCCATGTGGTTTGGTCTTGGAGGAAGCCCACACTCTTGTTAAAGAGACGTATTTAAATATAAGTAAACCTTATTTTAGGAGACTGCTAACTCTAATCTCCAATATCCTTCCCTGGGGAGGGGTCACCCCTCTCTGAGTACCTATAGGTACTTAATGGTCCCTGGGGGAAGGAGAGAGATTTTCATCAGCGGTGTAATCCATGTTCCTGTAAATAATCCCTCACCCACAACCCCAGTGAAACTAACTGTGCTACCATAAAAGGAAAGAAAGAAGAGAAATAACAGAGAAAGAAAGGAAAATGAAATCAGAAGAGGGACTAGGTAGAGAGGGAGGAAACAGGAGGGAGTAATGGGGTGAATATGATAAAATGATTAAGTGTATGTATGGAGATGCCACTATGGAACCCATTGTTATAATCAGCATGGTGCTTGAGCAGGATGAGAAGGTCAGTCGCATCCAGCAGAGGTTACTGTTGTTTGTTGCATGATGAGAAAGGGAAGCCAAAGGAAGCTCAGCCATGGAGACAAGTCTCGGCTGGGAACTCCAGATGACCATCTCAACTTCCCCGCTCAGTTTCTGCCCCTTGTTGTGGCTACCTGATTCAGTGATTGTGGAGGTTTGAATGAAAGTGGGCCCCACAGGCTCAGAGGGAGTGGTACTGTTGGGAGGTGTGTCCTTGTTGGAGGAAGTGTGTCGTTGGGGGTGGGCTTGGAGGTCTCAGGTGTGCAAGCAGACCCAGTGGCACTCTCTTCCTGCTGCCTGCTCATCTGGATGTAGAACTCAGATGCCTCTCCAGCACCATGTCTGCCGGCACGCCACGTGCCTCCCATCTCTCTGGCATCTCTTTTTCTTTCTTCCCCTGGGCCTAAATTCCTCCTACTTACTTTCCTTCCCATCAGTCCCGCCTGTACCTCCTCCCTCGCTATTGGCTGTTCAGCTTTTTATTAGACCAATTAGGTGCCTTAGGAAGGCAAGTTAAAACTGCAACACATCTTTACATAGTTGAACAAATACTCCACAACAGTAGTCAGTTTTCGTGGGATATTTTGGGCACCTGATTTGATATTTTGCCATCTGCCTATCTGTCTATCTATCTATCATGTATCTCTTGCTATTTATTCTTTTGCTTTGATTGGCTATATACTTAACAAAGTCACCAATTCAAAGCCAATGAATGACCATCCTCGATCATTCTCTGGACCATACAAAGACAATAATAATAATAACAACAACAAATCCTCCTCTATCTGTATCCTGGAGGCCACCCTAATATTTCTTTCATTAGTATGCTGCTTCCTTGAGTAAGGCAGTGTCTTTCCAGAGAGAGGCCTTAGTGAAGACACAGAGGACACCTTTGGTCACTCCCACCACAGGAAGTGAACGAGCCCCTCAGGTAGAACACCCACCCAGCAGGTGCTCTTCAGGGACAGACACACAGGATAGGGAATTACATCATGGCGCTCTAGAAAGCTGGGTGTCTGGTAGGAGGTAGTCCTGCTTCCCCTTTAAGGGAGGTGTCACAGTCTTGTTTGTGACCTATCCCTGCTCCCGTGGTCCTGGGATGTTTATACTGGACCAGAGAACCTTGACTTTTACCCAGACCTCAGGTCACAGTAAAGGAGGCATTGGCAGTTCTGTGCTGGCACTGGACACCACAGCTGGGAAGAGAAAATGACCTGTATGTTACGCAGGTGCTGCAGAGGGCTGGCTTGAACCATAGCTCATTTCCCTTAGTGGGCAGGCAGTGAAGGCACGAGGACTACTTGGCCAACACAATCTAGGTCAGGGACAGGTCACAGACCGACGGATTGATGCTTTGTGTGCTCTGTCTCTGTGTGTGTGTGTGTGTGTGTCTGTCTGTCTGTCTGTCTGTCTGTCTGTCTCTCTGGTTTGGCAACTCTGGTGATGCCAAGGCAGACTTGCCCTGCTTTCTTGTCCTTCCCTCTGCTGAGCACTCAGTCCTCACTGTGTCCAGGGAGTCGCAGCTACTGCCTGGAATGCTCCTCTGAGGGTTTTGTGCCCTTTGTTTTACAAACAGCAAAGCAACTATTGTTTTGTTTGTTTTAAGATATGCATCACTACCACATCCTAATTGTAGAAAATGGGAAAAAGTCATCCAAGGTTAGCCATGGTCAACCTTATGTATAATTCTTCCTACATTTCCCCCACTCTCTCCTGCTCCTTCTTGGTTATGCGCTTAGATGAGATTTCAGTTTTGGGGGGCTCAGGTACTGCCCCCTCCAGTTGGGGAGTATCGGCAGCGGCTGACATTGGAGAAGAGCCTGGGGCTTGGACTCTTGGGGCTGGAGGAGATGACAGCCCTGCTTCAGGAATGGATCTGACCTGACAGGCAGGACCTGCTCCACAGTTCGGGGGAGAATTCTGGGTGCTTCCCACAAAACTAAGGCTTCAGGCAGTTCTGCTGTGCTCCGGGCATGGCCTCTCCTTGTAAGGTACTGACCTGCCGTGTCCTGACTTAGTAACTGCTGTCGTGGAGAGAGCCACGTGTCTGCCATCGCAGCCTGTCCCGCTGAAAGTGCCATCGATACTGAGGGCCCAGAGTTGTATTTCAGAACTTGCCCCTTCTCAGAGTGCTGGGTTCTGTAAGACACATTTGAAAGCATCTCAATGTTTGACGGTACTCTTGATTACAACACTTGGTGATCCCGTCATCCACAAACGTCATCTTCGGGGTGCTCAGTCCCCAACCTCCTCCACTTTCTGTTCCCCAACAGTGCTGCTGTGCCATGAAATGCACTTGGCTTTGGCATTGCCAGTCAGCTCCCTCCACAGTCTCTCCTCTAACTCTCCTATCGCAATCTCCTCCTCCAGCCCAGTCTGTTTCTCCACAGATCTTCTACCCATGGAGACCCACAACTGATAGATCTCCCACATATTTGTGGCCCCTTGCGGTAACCACGGCTTCCTCACATTGCCTTCTCTGTGTCTGGTCCCTCACCATCATCTCATGCCTCAGTTTACAGTCTCCTCCCTTTGGCCCTTGCCTCCCTTCATTGCACCCGACTGGCAAACCAGGGTCCTGGCTCACTGCCCCTCTGCTCAATGTGCCCGCTCCTAGCTCCCTTTACCACCAGCATCACTACCTGCAGGCGGGTCTCCTGTCCCCAGGACACCGCTTTTCACTGCTCTCCTAGACAATGATTCCACTTTCAAACCCTCCCCGTTTCTTCCCTGTGGTCGCCCTGCAGCACTGAGATAAAACAAGGGACCCTGGGCTGGCAGGTTCTCAGTGTTTCTAGCACCTTCCACCCACCCCAGCTGTGCCTATCTGCTCTCTGTATGCCTTCTTTCCTAATGTAAAGCGTGTGCTTCCTTGGCAAGGCGATACCAAAATGGGCCTGAACCCTGATGGGCAGCTGCAGCTACCATAGTGATCAGTCAACTTCAAAACAGTTGGCCTTGCGATGTTTGAGGATGTCCCGCTGGAAGCTGCAGCAGACTCTTCTCATGCGGCCCCCAAGGCTCTCTTTTGCATTACAAGGACACTGATACCCCTGCTTCTATCTCACCAGAGCCTAAAGGAATGCTTCAGTTCTGAGTCTAGCCTTCTCTCCTGCCCAGAGCCTAAAGGAATGTATCAGTTGGGTTCCATTTTTGCAGAAACGCAGAAGGGAAACCATGAATCCATGGCAGAGGCCTGCATGACCGCTCAATCCCAGAATCCTCTGGGAGGGATGAGCAAGAATAGCAGGTTGCCCAAGAGGCACTTCTTGTTGGTGTCTCTGTTTTCTGACCCTAGCAGTGGGGAAGCTGGCTGGAACCAGAGAACACACAGGCTCGGATGATGAAAAGCCTGTTTATTCCTAGTACACTGGACACTTTGTTCAGGAAGTGTTCATCCATTTGGAAATGTTGCCCTTGTCATGGTGCCAAGGTCAGTGCCTGCTGGGGCCATCAGCAGCGTGTGTGCCAGCCCTGGCAGGGCGTTTTATTAGGTGTATGGCTTCCCTGGGAAGCGACCGAAGAACGTGGGCTAGCTAATTTGTATTTAATGCTCTCCCACATGTGTTCATGGTGTTCCATTTTTATTGGGAATTGAAGAGGAAAAACATATAAGGAAACGCATAAATAGGTTAGAGTACAATGGGCTGCTTTAAAAGGGAGTTTTGAGTGACACTGACTCACTTCACAGATCTCCACAGACTCTCAATTACTATAATATACTCATCTATGCAAAGCATTGGGCAGCTTTCGAAAATGTCTCTATCCATTCTCTCCACTGAGGCTCAACTCATCCTTGTAAGGCAAGGTTGTAGGGTCCCCCATTATCCGAGAAAACAAGCTCGGGAATCGGAAATGGCTCGTAACCAACAAAAGTCTCAGAAGTAAACTTGGTGGGTTGCATATCAACACCCAGTGTCTACCAGGCCAGGTTTGATGTGCCTGTCCCATCACGGTGCGCTGGACAGGTGGTGGTGGGTATGTGGGGAGGTGGTAGTGGGTATGTGGAGGGGAGGTGGTGGTGGGTATGTGGAGGGGAGGCTCTCACAGCTGTGGGAGTGTGTGAGGCTGTATCAGCTGTGCCTTCCATGTGAGCCCACCCACTGAGGTGATCAACAGTTTCTCTCTGGCAACCTCGTGGAGGCTCCACCTGCTGAGTGGACAATGATAACCCACCCTAGTGTGGTGGCGCCCAGGGAGGCCAGGGCCTGTGCAGTGTCCCTGGGCTGCTGGAGGTTAGTGCTCCAGCTCCATTATGTGGGCCCATTGTTGACTGAACTGTAGGAGTGGTCTGGTCCCATCTGTCCCCTGCCCCAGTGTGGAGCACATGACCACATTTTATCACGATGTGACAGTGTAAGCTGACCAAGTTTGGGAGTGGCACACGGACAGCTGAAGAGTAACTAACAATCATGACAGGCACCATCGGGGCATTTAGATGAAAGCGCTAAGGCGAAGGGGCAGAACTCGACGTGGGTTTCACAGCTGCTGGACCAGGCAGGGGCTGCATCTGTTCTTGGTCCTCACTTATTCTTGGGATCTGAGAAAAGTAAAGCCACATGTTTCAGCTGGAAAAGACTTGGGAGTTTTCATTTCCTGGGGGTTCAATCTCACATGAATGAGCAAAGAAGCCATCACATTTGTGGGTTCTCCTGATGGGCAGACAGGGCCTAGTGTCAGGCTCTGTGCTTGGCCACTTGAGTACTGTGTTCTGTGCAAAAGCATGGTAAGCTCCTTCCCAAGCTGGTAGAGTGAGAGTGTTTGGGAGATAAGTTCTACACCAGGAGCTCTACAGCCTGGAAAGGAGAGTGCTCTGTGGCATGCGGTGCTCCCTATAGAACTGAGTGGTCAGCAGGTGAGGAACCCAACTGCAGAACAGAGCTAGGCTAGTGAGCAGAAGTCAGCCGAGGAAGGCTCAGCTGTAACCAAGGGAAACAACAGGACCAAGAAACCGTACAGGGTGGAGAGTTTCTTCTCACCAGATGTGCTGGGACAGTCTGGCCAGCTGTAGGGACTACCTATGCGAAGGAAAACTGATACAAGAAATATTCTATTGGTTTAGCATTTTATAGTAAACATCTATCAGGAGGTCTATACATTCACAAAGAAACCGAATCAGGGTTAAGAGATGGCTGAGTGTGTCAAAATGCTTGCTGTCCAGGCCTGATACAGTCTTGATTGCCCAGCACCCTCATGGTGGAAGGGGACAACCAGTTTCTACAACTTGTCTCCTGACTTTCACATGTGTGCTGTAGCATCCAGCGCTTACACACACACACACACACACACACACACACACACACTCATACACACACCACACAGAGGGGAGGGAGCAAGTAGGCACATGTGAAAGTAAATAAATAAAAAGTTTTTAAAGTTGAAGAAAGAAACCACACCATACTGTAAAATCTCTGCTAGGATTTCCTAAGAGAACCAAACTAAAGCTGCATATTGAACGCTTGTTATTGTTTGTTTGCTCCCGGGGAGTAGTTCTAATGCAAAGCCTCATTCCCCAGCCCACAGGGCATCTCTGGCTACCCCACCCAAACCACCTGTTTCTGCTGAGCCCCTTAGAAGTGTCCATGAAAACGTCTCTCTCACTACAGAGGGGTAAGAGACAGTTTATTCTGGGCCAATATAAATGACCACGGCTTAACAACAGAGGCTTAGGTTTGTTTTTTGTTTTTTCAAACACCGTGTTCTGATATAGCAACAGTTCCGGGAAGCGTTATAGTAATAGAACGGAGAGTCATAAATAAAGACACTTTTCACTCCCATAAGTAGGCAGACCCCAGAAAAGCAAGGACATGACAGCTGTGGACCTCGGACACTAGCTGCTGTCACTCTCAGCTGTTTGTTGGTGGACGTCACCGCTGCCTGTACATTCCGAAGATTCACCCAATAGCCACAGAGCTGCTAGGCCGCATTCAGAAGGACAATCAGAGGCTGTTAAGGAGGCTAAAGATTGGCTCAGAACCTGGAACATTCCAGTCTCTCAGTCCCAAGCAGCCTGAGGCTGAGCAGGTCCTCTTCTTTCCAGGGATTTTCATCCACAAAAACCATAGTTGGATTTGTTTTTTTCTTTTTAAAAGTTTTCATCCTTATACCCAACCAGCTGCATATTTTATCTGCAGATTCTCTTAACTGTCCGTCCCTTTGGATGAGACCCTCAATCCAGTTGCCCGTCATTAAGTCAGGCACAGTGCTGCGCTCAGCACCTGTGATGCCATCAAGGTATCTGGTCTTCTTGCTTCCAGCTGTGGCTTACACCTGTGCCAGGAGGGGTGGCTGCTATTCCTGAGTGCATTTCCACCTCTCCCTACCCCTTCTTGCTCTCCATGTCTCTCTTCCCCTCCCCCTCTTCCCTCTCTCTCCCTCTCTCCCTTCCTCTCTCTCCCTCTCTCCCCCTCTTCCCTCTCTGTCCCTCTCTCCCCCCTCCCCTCTCTGCCCCCTCTTCCCCTCCCCCTCCCCTTGCCTCCCTCCCCTCCCCCTATCCTTCCCCGCCTCCTGTTTGTGTACCCTTTCCTTAAGCATCTCCATCTTCCTGGCAAATGCTGTTCGAATTGGGACTTTCCAAAGTCCATTGTAGTCTTAACCTCTTTCTGGGCTGTGGAAGGAGGGAAGATTCTGGAAAGGTACTTCCCAGTTAACCACTTCCTGCCACTGTGACTCTCGCCCCTGTCCCTGAACTCCAGTGTCATGTTGGCACTGGAGCATAAAAAGAAGCAACCACGAGTGGTTTTGCTCTAAGGAGGGACAGACAGCAAGACACTGGTGAAGTGTCCTTGAGTTCCTCCATCAATCCTGAGAGGATTAGGCCGAAAGGCTTCAGGGAAACCTCTGGGCTTTGTTCCCCTCAGTGAGAACCCCTGAGAAGTTACACACACACACACACACACACACACTCACTCTCTCTCTCTCTCTCTCTCTCTCTCTCTCTCTCTCTCTCTCTCTCTCTCTCTCTCTCTGGGTGGGGCCAGAACTAGGACTGATCTGTCTGGGCTAGAGGCCGAGGTCTTCAGAGCAGAGTTGCCAAACCCTTAAAACATTTCTTTTGCTCTTCCCAAGCACCGAAGGTGTTCAAAACAAACAATAAAAACCAACAAAACCCTACTCTGTAAGAATTCTTTAGAAGAAGACACCATCCCCAGGTCTGTCACTTCCTTCCTGTTGCCTTCAAGAGGTTAAGGGGATATTACTAACCTAGAGTGGCAGAGTGACTTTTCCAGAATCCTGGTGCTACATGGAGGAGTCGGGAAGCTTGTCCTGAGGCAATGAGAGCAAAGGGAATGGTGATACCTGGGGAACAATGGATATCTTACCTCCTGCTCCTGAGCTCCTACTCTTGTTTAGACAGCAGGGTGGCAGGAGCAAGGGCATGCGCAGACAGGACATGCTGGGCTCTGCAGAACGGTGCCAGCCTGTCCAGGAGGCTGGGGTACAGGATTCGGGTCTCCACCTGGAAGCAGCAGAGGAAGAGGGTGCTCTTCCAAACACTTTGAAGGTGTGGAATGGGAGACTGGAGTTGACCAGAGAAGTGGACAGTTTCCCTTTCTGCTGTCCAGCACTCGTTAACTGGCAACCACGCTCCACCTCCCTGCTTAGGGTTTATCACCAACTGCGTTCTCAGGTCCCTCAAAGAGCTGAATGCACTCCTAACCTACAGCAAGCCAAGCTCAGCAAAGCATTAGCTCAGAAATAGGCAGGGATCCTACCAGAGCCGGGAGAGCCTCCCCTGGGGACTCTAGAACAAAGACACTCACTTTCTGCGGGCTGTGCATTTGGAACAGTGTAACCTGTTTGAGAACAGCTTTGATAGAACAGAAAGATCTAAGTTGGGCCCTGATAAATAAACTTCATTTGAAACCTTACGTACAGGCTGAGGAGATGACTCAACCAGTGGAGTAACAATCCCTAGAACTACAGGCAAAAAGCTTGGCACAGTGGTGCATGTCTGTAACTCCAGCGTCAGTGTGTGTGTGTGTGTGTGTGTGTGTGTGTGTGTGTGAGAGAGAGAGAGAGAGAGAGAGAGAGAGAGAGAGAGAGAGAGAGAGAGAGAACAGCCGAATTCTTGAAGTCATTGGGCTGCAGGATCAGTGAGAGATCCTATCTCAAAAGCTAACAGTGGAGAGCTATGGAGAAGGGAAAGCCAACCTTGAACTCTCACATGCGTGTACACATATGAGCACCAACATCCTCATGCATGTGTGTGTACATGCCCACACTAGCAAGTACATATCCCACAAACATACTACATTTATACATATATACACACACATACACAGAGAGAGGAATAAGCAAATATTATATACAGTGATTTTCCTCACAAATATTTTACATACTATGAATCAATACTCTTTGTTCAAACCAATTTGGGTCATATCTTCCCCCAACTGCAGATAATGGGTCTTGTTTCATAAAGTAAGATTACATGTACATATACATATATAATTTTATGGAAAGTGTTTATTTTTGCTTATGGTTACAGAGCTATGAGTCCATTATGACTGGGAAGCATGGCAGCAAGCAGCAGGCTTGGAGGCAGGAGCAGGAAGTGAGAGCTCACTTGCTCCCCACAAGCACAGAGCAGAGAGACTGCATGGGACACAGGGTGAGGCTATAAACTCTTAAGGCTCACGTCTGGTGATGCACTTCCTCCAGCAGGGCCACACCTCCTGAATCGTCCCAAACTACACCAACTGTGGACCAAGTGTTCAAATGCCCATGCCGATGGGGGACATTCTCATTTCACTCCCTGGCCCCCATGTTTCAGATCCTATGGGAGACATTCTCATTCTACTCCCTGACCCCATTTTTTCATGACCATAACATAATACAAAATACATTTAATCCAACTTCAAAAGCCCCCACATCTTTAACAGTCTCAACACTGTCCAAAGTTTCTTCTGAGACTCAAAAACATCTCTTAATTGTAGCCCCTGTAAAACCACAAAGCAAATTATATACCTGTAACATAGAATGGAACAGAATATACATACCTTTACAATATGAGTGAATGAGAGCATAATAAGAAAATAATAGATCGAAGTAAAACTATAACCCAGCAGGGCAAACATCAAACCCTGTAGTTCTATGTCTGGTGTCAAAAAACGTAATGGGCTCTATGTCTGTCAGGTCCCAGCCCCCACGGATCTCTGTGCATTGCTTGTCAGCTGATAGCCACAGGTGTATCCTGCTCTCTAGTCCTGGCTTACAGCCCTGACCTTGCCTGCCTGACATTAATATCTAACATGAGGAGAACACGAGCTCTTACACCTGGGGTTTTCCCACTGTGCTGTAAGTCTGTATATAAGCCTGCTCCCTTTGCAGACACATGCACGTACGCAGATATCGATCTCTTAGCACTTGCAGTAAAGACGTGTACACACACACACACACATTCTCTGGCAATAAAGGCGGCAGATGCATTCTCTTAGCACAAAGGGTTGGACGTCTTGTCTTTCATTTCCCGATACCTCGGACTCGCTCATGGTGCGGGTGCTACAATTGGAGGTTCCACTGAGATCAGGAAAGAAAGTCAGAGAGACCTGAACCGTTGGTACAGCGGGGCTCAAGCTTCTGCAGCTGCTGCCACCACCAGAATAGCCTTGAGCTCTGGACACCCAGTGCCTCGCCATGACTGGTCAACAGGAACTGAAAACAGGTACCAGTTAGAAATTGGAAAACAAAAGACAGGACTCAGGGGAGGGGGGGAAAGGAAAAAAAAAACATGAGATTGGGAAAGATAAGAGAAAGGAGATTTGGGAATTGAAAACAGGTAGATTAAATCTCCAGGCCTTTCTCCACCAAGGTCGGGAAAGAAAGGGGAACCTGAGAGATCACCACAAAGGCTGGCCAGCAAGTAAGGTTGTGAGGGTGCATTGGAAAAGACGTTGGCATCACTGTTGGAGTGGTCGCCGCTATTGCTGTTGCTGCTCCAGCAGCCATTGTATCTGGACTGCCATCTCAGTCCGTAACTACAGCCAGCACGGTGGATAAACCGGCAGGGGAGGTTACAGAGTTCTTAGCACTCAGAGCTCCTTAAATAACTTAGTCCAGGTAGGAATTCTAAATCTTGATCAACAACATCCTTAAACCTGTTTGCCTACCTAGCACACATTGTGTTATCCATGCCAAAGTTAATACTTATCAATTGGCTAATCAAATTATTAGGATAAATGAGACCTGAGTTCCTTCATCCTCTAGAGGGATCCTCCTTGGGGGTGCCAACCAACCTAAGACAGGAGGGTCATGCAGCCTGGGTGATTTCTCCATTGATGGGTAAGGTTGGTGTCAACATCCTAGTCACCTAAGACAGGAGCTAATTTATATGTTAAGAAGTGGGTGGGAGATGTTGGGTTCCAGCCCCCACGGATCTCTGTGCATTGCTTGTCAGCTGATAGCCACAGGTGCATCCTGGTCTCTATTCCTGGCTTACAGCCCTGGCCTTGCCTGCCTGAAATCAATATCTAGCATGAAGAAAACACGAGCTCTTACACCTGGGGTTTTTCCAATGCGCTGTAAACTTGTATATAAGTCTGCTCCCTCTTTACAGAGAGAGAGCGAGAGAGATCTCTTAGCACTCGCAATAAAGACATATACACATGCATTCTCTGGCAATAAAGGTGGCAAACACATTCTCTTAGCACAAACGGTTGGACGTCTTGTCTCTGATTCCCGATAACTTAGACTTGCTCGTGGCACAGGTACCACATATGTCTCCAGCTCTACTGCCTCCAACATAAATGTTTCCTTGGGCTGGCTATAATCCCAGCATGCAGCTCTTTTTGGTGGATACATCATGACTCTGACTTCTTCGAAATCTTAGGGTCCCCACTGCCACCCAGATTTCATCTTCACAGCTCCACAATGACCACTTACAGCCACTTCCCGTTTGGGGCTTTCACTCAGGGATTCCCTCACCGCTTGCTGCCTGGCCTCAGTGGCTCTCGGAAACCACAGAACAAGAATCCATTGCCTCTTCACTCATGCCTTTCGTGACTCTAAACCCAGCACCACATGTGAACATTGCCAAGTTCCCTTTGCCAGCTTGGGACGAACCCTCGCTCTCTTGAATAATAGTAGCAGCCGTTTCTGTTTGCAGTTTCTTTCTAGGACAGAAAACCCCTCCTTAAGCCATTTCCTTTCACAAGCCTGAGGCTTACCTGGGTGGAGGATAGCTTCCCTGGTTTTAGTATAGGGCAGGCCTCTCCTTCATGGCGCAAATCTCTCTAACAGTTACAGTCTTCTCTTCCGACACAAGCTCTGAGTTCCCTAGTGCCCCTCCCCTCCACACTGTATGCTCGCATTTCCTTCTCCACCCTTGCTCTTTTCTGTTGTAAGCAACCATCAGCATTCAGTGTCTTCATATTTCCTCCGCCAAAGATATCTGTCTACTGCTTCTAATTCAGTCTCAGACAAGTTCTCAGATGAGGTAAAAAGGCAGCCAGTTGCCATTAGAGTCATAGTTGTCATTGCTTTCTCAGAAACCTCTTGAGCTAGACCTCTACCGTACTCTCTGCTCTCAACGCTACCGTCATCCAAGATCCTCCTCGCATGGCCCCCTTTTAAGAACAGCTATGAAGGGGCTGGGCTGTATCTCAGTTGTAAGCACTTCCCCAGCATGTGACCCTGCATGTGATCTCCACCACCTTAAGAATGAAAGGAAGGAATAACAACCATCAAAGCATAGGAGTGTGACTGTTTGGTAACATGGAAAAATACCCAGGTTGCCAGAATTGAGGGGGAGAAAGGTACCCAGTTCCAATGGAAAGCCCAAATTTTTGTTGAAAGTAAAAAGCTAATTTAAAATTATATATTTATGGGAAAAGGTAAAGTCCAAAGACTAGCACAGACTGTCCCAGAGACATAGAAACTGTTTTGTTGCTTTGTTTTGGGTTTTTGAAACAGTGTTTCTTTGTGTAACCCTGACTGTTCTGGAACTCACTTTGTAGACCAGCCTGGCCTCTAACTCAGAGATTTCCCCTGCCTCTGCCTCCTGAGTGCTGGGATTAAAGGTGTACACCACCACGCCAAGCTTGTAAAAACTGTTTCTTAGTTCTGCAGATATGAAGGCTTAGCCTGGTATTGCCTCAGCATAGACAAATAGCCCAACAGAATAAAACAATGAGCCCACACACAAGGCACAGACATTTGGTTTTCAACAAATGTACGAGCACAATGCAATGGAAATGCTGGCCTTTTCAATAAATATTGTGGAGTCAATGGAATATATGTTTCTGAGGAAAAAAATCAACCTATTGTCCCATCTCATACAAAGCACAAAACTCAGCTTCAGGTAGGTTATAGACAAAACTGTGAAGAATAAACAATAAAAAGAGTATCAGCTGGATCTGGGCCATGGCAGCTGTACAAGCCGGGTGGCGGTTACAGCGGTGGCAGCGCCCGCCTTCAATCCCAGCACTCGGGAGACAGAGGCAGGCAGATCTCTGGGGCCAGCCTCATCTACAGAGGGAGTTCCAGAACACCCAGGGCTACACAGAGAAATGCTATCCTTAAAAATAATTATCTTTAGGGGCTGAAGAGAGAGGTTAAGAGGTTCAGGGGTTAAGAGCTCTAGTGGTTCTTGCAGAGGACCCAAGTTCGGTTCCCAGCACCCACATGGCAACCCACAGCCGTCTGTAACTCCAGTCCCAGGGGATCTGATGCCTCTCCTCAGGCACCAAACACACACAGCATTTGCTGCGCATATATAAATGT